ACTCATATAAAGAGTTTTTTAACTTTGCATTCTTGCAGGTGCTGATCAGTGGTGTTTTGATGGTCATAGGATGAGGTTCTTGGGATTTCATTGGACACTGAAAACATGTTGATAATTTTGGTTTTACATTGGGTTAGTCTTACAGTTATAAACATTTTAAAAATATTCATTATAAGAATGAGAAAATCTCCAATGTTTTAAAATGCCAGATTGATCAAACTCTTCCTGCTGTCTTCTTACTGTTTTTGCTATGTTTTTAGCCAAGAGTTCGTCTTTTTCGGCCTGGTGAAACGAGTGAAATGTTCAGCCATTTTTGTTGTCCCTAGCAAATCAACTCAACCTCATCCCCGTCTTCTTCTTCTCAGTTAATGGTTCAATAACCTGGCATTTTGCTGCACTTTTGATGTCCTTGGTTCAATATCACAAAATCTTTTTTTTTTCTAATTTCATGGTTCGTACAATCTTGAAAAGGTCTTGAATTTTAGCAGTGGTCTTGAAAAGTCCTTGAATTCGGTTAAGGTCCTTGAAACATACTTGATTTCAATAACAGGCCTTGAAATGTCATTGAAATTCACTACCTTGTCTACGCCAGCACCTGTTTTGTGTCAAATTAGATTATTTCGCCGAGGAAAATTTGGCTCATCCTCGGTGTAAGAAACTATAAAAGTCATGTGTAACGTAAAAACATTTTTGTGTTTGAACGGTATTTTATTTCTGTTTCTTTAGTTCAATTGCTATTTCTGTACCTCAGAAGCAATTGCAAGTCAGACCCAGTCATTTTGCAAAGTGTTGTTGTGAAAAGTAGTTTAAAATAATGTGATCAACCATGGCTGAAGAAGTTAAAATTGTAAATGACTCCATGACATGTTTTAGCCAATAAGGTGTTCAAAAGAGGGTTAAAGAATGCTGATTTGTTGAATAATTCTTAGTCCCAGCAAACTGTAATTTATTCTTGAAAAATCCTTGAAAAGTCCTTGAAATTGGTTTGTCTGAAGTTGTATGAACCATGTCTATGCAGTGTTCCAGGTAAGAGACGGGTTTCGGGTCAGTGACCTGACAAAGAAGGCTTCCTGACCCAAAAGATGACATATAAGTGTTAGTTGCATGTAGTGAAAAAAATTAGCCTTTGGTGTTGGTGGCCCCTCCTGCTTGAAAGAATTAACTGGAATGCTGTCTATGGATGGATGAAATATGTAGATCAATGGTTCGCTGTTCACCTTTGGAGAACAGGCAAAAATTGAGATCCAGTCCCAGGCACCTGAGCCCTTTTGCAAAGACAAAATGGCGGCTGAGTCGATGTGCTCAAAATGTTCGTTTTCCCTGGTTAAGCTATTTTGAAAAAAATAGCTCATGTGTAGTAGAAAAATACTTTATTTCTTTATATGGTCTTGAAAGTCCTTGAAAGTTACTACTTTATCTCCACACCACCATTTTCTGTGAAATTAGATTCTAGAGCATAGGTATAACAAAAGTTATAGTGTATAGTGAAACGAAAGTAAAACTTGAAGCAACGATATTTTATCAGTGTTTCTTTATTTCAAATGCTATTTCTGTATCTCATACTACAAGTCATACCCAGTGACTGTTGACATTTGGCAGAGTAGTGTTGTTAAGGAAAGTAGTACACCATAATGTGAGAGGGGGTCAAAGAATACCAATTTATTGAATAAATCTTAGACCTTAAAACTGTAATTTGTCCTTGAAAAGTCCTTGAATTTTGTTTCCTTGAAGTTGTACAAACTATGAAATTTGGTCACCAGTAGCTGGTTATGATGAATTATGCATGTGATTTTAGCCAATCAGAAACAGAGATATATTTTGAATGAATAATATTATTTACATGGTATCTCTAAGGCTATGAAAGACCTGCTACATGTGGCAACTCTTTGTTTAAATTAACAGACAGCAGTGATAGGATTTGCAAGAAGTAAAGCTCCTTGCGGTTTCGGTGCACCAGCTGGAGAGCAGAATGACTAGTCAACCATGAAGGTAGGTGTTGTTTTGAATATACCGCTCTCTTTTTGGGAGAATTTCCTGTAAAGATAGCTGGTTCAGTAATCACCCAGATTGGGATTTGGCTTAATATTAGCTTCATGTACCTTGTAGGGGAACACATATCACTAGGGCTATGTGTTTTTTGTGTAGGGGAACGCATATCACTAGGGCTATGTGTTTTCTGTGTAGGGGAACACATATCACTAGGGATATGTGTTCCTGGGTAGAACACACATCACTAGAGATTTGTGTTTCTTGGGCAGAGGAACACATATCACTAGGGATTTGTGTTTCCTGGGTAGGGAAACACATCACTAGGGATATGTGTTTCCTGTGTAGGGGAACACATACCACTAGGGATATCTGTTTCCTGTGTAGGGGAACACATATCCTTAGTCATATGTGTTTCCTGTTTGGGGGAACACATATCACTGGGGATATGTGTTTCCTGTGTAGGGGGAACACTTACCACTAGGGATATCTGTTTCCTGTGTAGGGGAACACATATCCCTGGTGATTATGTGTTTTCTGTGTAGGGGAACACATACCACTAGGGATATCTGTTTCCTGGGTAGGCGAACACATATCCCTAGTGATTATGTGTTTTCTGTGTAGGGGAACGCATATCACTAGTGATATGTGTTTCCTGGGTAGGGGAACACATATCAGTAGGGATATTTGTTCCCCTGCCCTCAAACACATATTCCTAGTGATTATATGTTTCCTGTTTAGGGCAACACATATGTTTAGGGATTTGTGTTTTCTGGCTAGGGATGTGTGGTTCTTGTGTAGAGGAACACATATCACCAGGGATTTCTGTTTTCTGGATAGGGGAACAAATTCCCTTGTAATGTGTGTTTCCTGGGTAAGGGAACACTTATAACTAGGGAAATGTGTTGTAGTGTCATGTGTTTCCTTGGTAGGGAACACATATCAGGGCTGAAAATAACGGACAGCTAGTCGCCGGTCATGATGACCGGCCAAATGTTTTTTACACGTACAAACCCTGATTCTGGCCGGTCAAATAATGAATTCTAAAACATTTGTTTTTTGCCTTTGGAATAGGGAATTATGCTGGTAATAGATCGTTGTACTACATTGACGTTCAGGTTTTGGGCGGCAAGTCGATGAAACATTCATGCAGACGTTGTTTAGTTCCTTTCTGCTGTTTTCGACCGTTTTCATGTCCGTTCTATCTTGAATATCATTGTGCAGCAGTGTCTGAAGTCTCCAAGGTTCGTCCCATATCTGCATATTGGTGTTTGCTGCCTGGCACGTGATCGAAAGTCTCCTCCACAAAGAAGAAACGTCGGGAAATATTTTCAAAAACAAGTTAATTTGGCGACAAATCTTTTCCACAAACAGCATGTTTATCATTCGAAGTCGATAAATATACAACAGAGCTTTCATTTGGGTCGTCGCGCAACACTTTATCCGCAAAGGATTCATTAATGTCAACAGAAACTTGCATTTTAAGTGCCGAGATAGACAACGTTCGTTCTTGATCAGGTTAAATTTTTATCTGACTATTCTGGAATCGAGTCCGAAAACGAGATTCATGTTCGACATAAAGAAGTTATAATAATTAATTGATCCGCTAAAATTTTAGTCCCGGAGAAACACAGGACGACCTGTTGACGATTGCGATCGATTTCCCGAATTCCATCGAAGGTGATTTGACAATCACGTCAAGTCGATCTGAAATGTTAGATAGACCAAAACTGTTAGCTATCCTTTAGTTTTCTAACGGACAACGGATTATCGTTAGTGTATGTTTTTCCAAAGGAGACACAGAATGACCTGCATCATTGCGCTACTCCATGACTCAGTTTGTTGTTGTTTCGGTTTTTTACGTTTCATGACATGATGACATGAAATTTATCGCGGCGTTCATTTTCTTAAAAGGTTTTAGTGTAAAGCAGCCAAAAATGCCAAAGAAAAAAGAAATCATAACAGCGTGCACAACCCATTAAGGGAAAACTGTATGGAAACTATAATTAAATTTTCGTTTCCAAAAATGACCTGTCAAAATGACCGGCAAGACGAGAGTTTTTCAAGTCCACGATCAGGCCGGACATTCTCCGTTAGCTGGCCATTATTTTCAGCCCTCCCCTAGTCATTCCAGTCATCCTTAGTCATCCCTAGTCATCCCTACTCATCCCAGTCACCCTAGTCGACCCTAGTCATCCCTAGTCACCCCAGTCATCCCTAGTCATCCTGGTCATCCCTTGTCATCCTAGTCATCCCTAGTAATCCCTAGTCATCACAGTCATCCTAGACATCCCTAGTCGTCCTAATCATTCTTAGTCATCCTTAGTCATATTAGCCATCTCTAGTCATCCCTTGTCATTCCAGTCATCCCAGTCATCACAAGTCATCCCAGTCATCCTACTCATCCCTACTCATCCTACTCACCCCTAGTCATCCCTAGTCATCCTTAAACATCCCTAATAAACCCTAGTCATCCCACTGATCCTAGTCATCCCTAGTAATCCCTTGTCATCCCAGTCATCCATAGTGATCCCAAGTCATCCCAGTCATCCCTAGTCATCCCTAGTCATCCCAGTCATCCCTAGTCACCCCTGTCATCCTAGTCATACCTAGAGAATGCTAGTCATCCCCGTCATCCCTAGTCATCCCAGTCATCCCTGGTCATCCTTAGTCATCCGAGTCATCCAGGTCATCTCTAGTCATCCCTAGTCATCCCAGTCATCCTAGTCATTGCTAGTCATCCCAGTTATCCCTAGTCCTCCCTAGTCATCCCTAGCCATCCCAGTTCTTCCTAGTCATCCCTAGTCATCTCTGGTCATCCCTAGTCATCCTAGTCATCCTAGTCATCTCTAGTCATCCCTAGTCATTCCAGTCATCCCTATTCATCCCTAGTCATCCCAGTCATCCCTAGTCGTCCCTAGTCATCCCAGTCACCCCTAGTCATCCTTAGTCATCCTAGTAATCCTAGTCATCCCTAGTCATCTTTAAACATCCCTAGTCATCCCTAGAAATCCCTAGTCATCCCAGTCATCCCAGTCATCCCTAGCCATCCCAAGAAATCCCTAGTCATCCCAGTCATCCAAGTCATCTCTAGTCATCCTTAGTCATCCGAGTCATCCAGGTCATCCCTAGTCATCCCTAGTCATCCCAGTCATCCTAGTCATTGCTAGTCATCCCAGTTATCCCTAGTCCTCCCTAGTCATCCCTAGCCATCCCAGTTCTTCCTAGTCATCCCAGTCATCCCTAGTCATTCCTAGTCATCCCAGTAATCCCAGTCATCCCTAGTCATGTCAGTCATCCTAGTCATCCCTAGTCATTCCTAGTCATTCCAGTCATCCCAGTCATCCCTTGTCATCCCAGTCATCCTAGTCATCCCTAGTCATTCCAGTCGTCCTAGTCATCCCTAGTCATCCCAGTTATCCCTAGTCCTCCCTAGTCATCCCTAGTCATCCCAGTCATCCCTAGTCATCCCAGACATTCTAGTAATCCCTAGTCATTGCTAGTCATCCCTTGTCATCCCTAGTCATCCCTAGTCATCACTAGTCATCCCTAGTCATCACCGTCATCCCAGTCATCCCTAGCTATCCCAGTCATCCCTAGTCATCCCTAGTCATCCCTAGTCATCCTAGTCATCCCTAGTCATCCCAGACATTCTAGTAATCCCTAGTCATCGCTAGTCATCCCTTGTCATCCTGGTCATCCCTTGTCATCCCTAGTCATCACTAGTCATCCCTAGTCATCACCGTCATCCCAGTCATCCCTAGTCGTCCCTAGTCATCCCATTCATCTTTAAACATCCCTAGTCATCCCAAGAAATCCTTAGTCATCCCAGTCATCCCTAGCCATCCCAGTCATCTCTAGTCATCCTAGGTCATCCCAGGCATTCCTAGTCATCCCAGTCATCCCTTTTCATTCCTAGTCATCCCAGTAATCCCAGTCATCCCTAGTCATCTCAGTCATCCTAGTCATCCTTAGTGATCCTGGTCATCCCTTGTCATCCTAGTCATCCTTAGTCATCATTGTCATCCTAGTGATCTCTAGTCATCCCTAGTCCTCCTAGTCACCTCTAGTCATCCCTAGTCATTTCAGTCATCCGTAGTCATCCCGAGTCATCTTAGTCATCCCTAGTCATCCCTAGTCATCCCAGTCACCCCTAGTCATCCCTAGTCATCCTAGTCATCCCTAGTCATCTTTGTACATCCCTAGTCATCCCAAGAAATCCCTAGTCATCCAAGTCATCCCTAGCCATCCAAGTCATCTCTAGTCATCCTTGGTCATCCCAGTCATTCCTAGTCATCCCTAGTCATTCCTAGTGATCCCAGTAATCCCAGTCATCCCTAGTCATGTCAGTCATCCTAGTCATCCCTAGTCATTCCTAGTCATTCCAGTCATCCCAGTCATCCCTTGTCATCCCAGTCATCCTAGTCATCCCTAGTCATTCCAGTCGTCCTAGTCATCCCTAGTCATCCCAGTTATCCCTGGTCATCTTGGTCATCATTTGTCATCCTAGTTATCCATAGTCATCTCTAGTCATCCCTATTCATCCCTAGTCATCCCAGTCATCCCTAGTCGTCCCTAGTCATCCCAGTCACCCCTAGTCATCCCTAGTCATCCTTTTAATCCTAGTCATCCCTAGTCATCTTTAAACATCCCTAGTCATCCCTAGAAATCCCTAGTCATCCCAGTCATCCCAGTCATCCCTAGCCATCCCAGTCATCCCAGACATTCCTAGTCATCGCAGTCATCCCTAGTAATTCCTAGTCATCCCAGTAGTCCCAGTCATCCCTAGTCATCTCAGTCATCCTAGTCATCCGCAGTCATCCTAGTCATCCAGGTCAACCCTAGTCTTCCTAGTCATCCCTAGTCATCCCTAGTCTTCACAGTCATCCTAGTCATCCCAAGTCATCCCTAGTCATCCCTAGTCATCCTAGTCATCCCTAGTCATCCCTGTCATCCTAGTCATCACTAGTCATTCCAGTCATCCTAGTCATCCCTAGTCATCCCAGTTATCCCTAGTCCTCCCTAGTCATCCCTAGTCATCCCAGTCATCCCTAGTCATCCCAGACATTCTAGTAATCCCTAGTCATTGCTAGTCATCCCTTGTCATCCTCGTCATCCCTTGTCATCCCTAGTCATCACTAGTCATCCCTAGTCATCACCGTCATCCCAGTCATCCCTAGCTATCCCAGTCATCCCTAGTCATCCCTAGTCATCCCAGTCATCCCTAGTCGTCCCTAGTCATCCCAGTCACCCCTAGTCATCCTTAGTCATCCTAGTAATCCTAGTCATCCCTAGTCATCTTTAAACATCCCTAGTCATCCCTAGAAATCCCTAGTCATCCCAGTCATCCCAGTCATCCCTAGCCATCCCAAGAAATCCCTAGTCATCCCAGTCATCCAAGTCATCTCTAGTCATCCTTAGTCATCCGAGTCATCCAGGTCATCCCTAGTCATCCCTAGTCATCCCAGTCATCCTAGTCATTGCTAGTCATCCCAGTTATCCCTAGTCCTCCCTAGTCATCCCTAGCCATCCCAGTTCTTCCTAGTCATCCCAGTCATCCCTAGTCATTCCTAGTCATCCCAGTAATCCCAGTCATCCCTAGTCATGTCAGTCATCCTAGTCATCCCTAGTCATTCCTAGTCATTCCAGTCATCCCAGTCATCCCTTGTCATCCCAGTCATCCTAGTCATCCCTAGTCATTCCAGTCGTCCTAGTCATCCCTAGTCATCCCAGTTATCCCTGGTCATCTTGGTTATCATTTGTCATCCTAGTTATCCATAGTCATCTCTAGTCATCCCTATTCATCCCTAGTCATCCCAGTCATCCCTAGTCGTCCCTAGTCATCCCAGTCACCCCTAGTCATCCCTAGTCATCCTTTTAATCCTAGTCATCCCTAGTCATCTTTAAACATCCCTAGTCATCCCTAGAAATCCCTAGTCATCCCAGTCATCCCAGTCATCCCTAGCCATCCCAGTCATCCCAGACATTCCTAGTCATCGCAGTCATCCCTAGTAATTCCTAGTCATCCCAGTAGTCCCAGTCATCCCTAGTCATCTCAGTCATCCTAGTCATCCGCAGTCATCCTAGTCATCCAGGTCAACCCTAGTCTTCCTAGTCATCCCTAGTCATCCCTAGTCTTCACAGTCATCCTAGTCATCCCAAGTCATCCCTAGTCATCCCTAGTCATCCTAGTCATCCCTAGTCATCCCTGTCATCCTAGTCATCACTAGTCATTCCAGTCATCCTAGTCATCCCTAGTCATCCCAGTTATCCCTAGTCCTCCCTAGTCATCCCTAGTCATCCCAGTCATCCCTAGTCATCCCAGACATTCTAGTAATCCCTAGTCATTGCTAGTCATCCCTTGTCATCCTCGTCATCCCTTGTCATCCCTAGTCATCACTAGTCATCCCTAGTCATCACCGTCATCCCAGTCATCCCTAGTCGTCCCTAGTCATCCCATTCATCTTTAAACATCCCTAGTCATCCCAAGAAATCCTTAGTCATCCCAGTCATCCCTAGCCATCCCAGTCATCTCTAGTCATCCTAGGTCATCCCAGGCATTCCTAGTCATCCCAGTCATCCCTTTTCATTCCTAGTCATCCCAGTAATCCCAGTCATCCCTAGTCATCTCAGTCATCCTAGTCATCCTTAGTGATCCTGGTCATCCCTTGTCATCCTAGTCATCCTTAGTCATCATTGTCATCCTAGTGATCTCTAGTCATCCCTAGTCCTCCTAGTCACCTCTAGTCATCCCTAGTCATTTCAGTCATCCGTAGTCATCCCGAGTCATCTTAGTCATCCCTAGTCATCCCTAGTCATCCCAGTCACCCCTAGTCATCCCTAGTCATCCTAGTCATCCCTAGTCATCTTTGTACATCCCTAGTCATCCCAAGAAATCCCTAGTCATCCAAGTCATCCCTAGCCATCCAAGTCATCTCTAGTCATCCTTGGTCATCCCAGTCATTCCTAGTCATCCCAGTCATCCCTAGTCATTCCTAGTGATCCCAGTAATCCCAGTCATCCCTAGTCATGTCAGTCATCCTAGTCATCCCTAGTCATTCCTAGTCATTCCAGTCATCCCAGTCATCCCTTGTCATCCCAGTCATCCTAGTCATCCCTAGTCATTCCAGTCGTCCTAGTCATCCCTAGTCATCCCAGTTATCCCTGGTCATCTTGGTCATCATTTGTCATCCTAGTTATCCATAGTCATCTCTAGTCATCCCTAGTCATCCTAGCCATCCCTAGTCATCCTAGTCATCCCTAGTCATTCTATGTCATCCTAGTCATCCCTATTCATCCCAGTCATCCCTAGTCATCCTGGTCATCCCTAGTCATCCCAGTCATCCCTAGTCATTCCTAGTCATCCCAGTAATCCCAGTTATCCCTTGTCATCCCAGTCATCCTTGTCATCCCTAGTCACCCCAGTCATCTAGTGATCCCTAGTCATCCCAGTTATCCTAGTCATCCCTAGTCATCCTTAGTCATCCTAGTCATCTCTTGTCATCGTTAATCATTCCAGCCATCCCTAGTCATCCCAGTCATCCCTAGTCATCCCAGTCATCCTAGTCGTCGTTAGTCATCCCTAGTCATCCCAGTTATCTTTAGTCCTCCCCAGTCATCCCTAGTCATCCCAGTTATCTCTAGCCATCCTGGTCATCCCTTGTCCTCCTAGTCATCCCTAGTTATCTCTAGTTATCCTTAGTTATCCCTAGTCATCCCAGTCGTCTTAGTCATCCTAGTGATTTCTAGTCATCCCAGTCGTCTTAGTCATCCCTAGTCATCCCTAGTCATCCCTAGTCATCCCAGTCATCTTTGGTGATCCCTAGTCATTCTTGTCATCCTTAGTCATCCCTAGTGATCTCTAGTCATCTCAGGCATCACTTGTTATCCCAGTCATCCCTAGTCATCCCAGTCATCCCTAGTCATTCATTGTCATCTCAGTAATCCCAGTCATCCCTAGTCATTGCAGTAATCCTAGTCATCCCTAGTCATCCCAGTTATCCCTGGGCTTCCTTGGTAATCCGTAGTCATCCCAGTTCTCCGTAGTCTTCCTGGTCATCTGTTGTCATCCTAGTCATCCCTCGTAATCCCCAGTCCTCACAGTCATTCTAGTCATCCCTAGTCATGCCTAGTCCTCCCAGTCATCCTAGTAATCCCTAGTCATCCTTAGTCGTCAGTTGTCATCCCTAGTCATTCTTAGTCATCCCAGTAATCCCAGTCATCTCTAGTCATTCCAGTCATCCTAGTCATCCCTAGTCATCCCAGTTATCCCTGGTCTTCCCTAGTCATCCCTAGTCATTCCAGTCCTCCGTAGTCATTCTTGTCATCCTTCGTCTTCCCTAGTCATCCTTAGTCATCCTAGTCATCTCTAGTCAATCTTAGTCATTCCAGTCATCCCTAGTCGTCCCAGTCATCACTAGTCATCTCAGTCATCCCTACTCATCCGTAGTCATCCTTGTCACCCCTAGTCTTCTCAGTCGTCCTTAGTCATCCCAGTCATCTCATTCATTTCTAGTCATCCCAGTCTTCCCAGTCATCCCTAGTCATCTTAGTCATCCCTAGTTATCCTGTGTCATCCCAGTCATCCTCGTCATCGCTAGTCATCCTAGTTATCCGTAGTTTTCCCTAGTCATTGCTAGTCATCCCTGTGATCCCTAGTCATCCCTAGCCGACTTAGTCATCCGTAGTCAGTCCTAGTCATCCCAGTTATCACAGTCATCCCTAGTCATCCCAGTCATCCCTAGTCATCCCAGTCATCGTAGTCATCTCTAGTTATCCTTAGTCATCGTAGTCATCTCTAGTTATTCTTAGTCATTCCAGTCTTCCCTATTCATCCCTAGTCATCCTTATACCTCTCAGTCATCCCAAGTCATCACAGTCATTTGTAGTCATTCCAGTCATCCCAGTCATCCCTAGTCATCCTAGTCATCCCTAGTTATCGCAAGTCATCCCAGTCGTCGCTAGTCATCCCAGTCATCCCTAGTCCTTCCTAATCATCCCTAGTCATCACTGTTATCCTAGTGATCTCTAGTCATCCCTAGTCATTCCGGTCATCCCTAGTCATCCCTAGTCATGCGAGTCATCCCAGTCGTCCCTAGTCATCTCAGTCACCCCTAGTCATCTCTAGTCATTCTGGTTATTCTAGTCATCCCTAGTCATATTGAAACATCCCTAGTCGTTCCTAGAAATCCCCAGTCATCCCAGTCATCCCTAGTCATTCCTAGTCATCCCAGTAATCCCAGTTATCCCTTGTCATCCCAGTCATCCTTGTCATCCCTAGTCACCCCAGTCATCTAGTGATCCCTAGTGATCCCAGTTATCCCTGGTCCTTCCTAGTCATCAGTAGCCATCCTAGTCATCCGTAATCATCCTGGTCATCTCATTTCATCCTAGTCATCCCTAGTAATCCCTAGTCCTTACAGTCATCCTAGTGATCCCTAGTCATTCCTGGTCATCCCAGTCATCCTAGGCATCCCTAGTCATCCTTAGTTATCCTAGTCATCTATAGTCATCCCTGGTCATTCCAGTCATCCCTAGTCATCGCTAGTCACCTTTAGTCATCCTAGTCATCTGTAGTCATCCCTAGTCTTTTCAGTCATCCCTAGTCATCCCAGTAATCCCTAGTCATCCCTAGTCATTCCAGCTATCCTAGTCATTCCTAGTCATCCCTAGTCAACCCTAGTCACTCCTAGGCATCCCTAGTCTTCCCTAGTCATCCCAGTAATCCCTAGTCACCACTAGTCATCCCAGTGATCTTTAGTCATTGCAGTCATCCTTAGTCATCCTTGGTAATCCCAGTCAACCCAGTCATCTCTAGTCATCGCTAGTCTTCTCAGTTATCCCAAGTCATCACAGTCATTCTTGTCATCCCTTGTGATCTTCAGTTATCCAAACCATCCTAGTCATCCCTAGTCATCCTTAGTCATCCTAGTCATCCCTAGTGATCCCTAGTCATTCCAGTCATCCCTGGTCATCCCTTTTCATCCCAGTCATCCATAGTCATCCCAATCATCCCTAGTCATTCTAGTCATCCCAGTCATCCCAGTCATCCTAGTGATCCCAGTCATCCCTAGTCATCTTGGTCATCATTTGTCATTCTAGTGATCCGTAGTCATCCCTTGTCATCCCTTTCATCCTTAGTCATTTGTAGTCCCCCCAGTCTTTCTAGTCATCCCTAGTCATCCCTAGTCATCCTAGTCATTCCTAGTCATTCCTAGTCATTCCTGGTCATCCTCAGAGATCCTTAGTCATCCCAGTCCTCCCTAGTCATTTCTAGTGATCCTAGTGATCCCTAGTCATCCCAGTTATCCGAGTCCTTCCTAGTCATGTCTAGTCATCCCAGTTATCCCAGTCATCCGTAGTCATTCTAGTCAGCCCTAGTCATCCCTAGTCATCGATAGTCATCCCAGTCAACGTAGTCATCCCTAGTCATCCCTAGTCATACTGGTCATCCCTTGGCATCCTAGTTATCACTACTCATCCCTAGTCATCCTTAGTCATCCTAGTCATCTCTAGTCATCCCTAGTCATTCCAGTCATCCCTAGTCATCCTAGTCATCACTAGTCTTCCCTGTCATACCTAGTCATTGCAGTAACCCTTAGTCAACCCTAATTATCCTAGTCATCCCTAGTCATCCTTAAACATCCCTAGTCATCCCTAGATATCCCTAGTCGTCCCAGTCATCCCTAGGCATTTCTAGTCATCCCAGTCATCTCTAGTCATCCGTAGTCATCCAAGTCATCCCTGGTCATTCCTAGTCATCCCAGTAATCCCAGTCATCCCAGTAATCCCAGTCATCCCTATTCATCTAGTCATCCTAGTCATCCCTAGTCGTCCCAGTTATCCCCAGTCATCCCAGTAATCCCAGTCATCCGTATTCATCCCATTCACCCTAGTCATCCCTAGTTATGTCAGTCATCCTAGTCATCCCTAGTCATCCCAGTTATCCCTAGTCATCCCAGTCATCCTAGTCATCTCTAGTCATTTTAGTTATCCCTTGTCCTCCCTAGTCATCCCTAGTCATCCCAGTCTTCCCTACTCATCCTGGTCATCCCTTGTCATCCTTGTCATCCCTAGTTATCAGTAGTCATTCATAGTCATCACAGTCATTCTAGGCATCTTAGTCTCCCTTAGTCATCCTAGTTATCCCTAGTCATCCTAGTCATCCCTAGTCATGGCTAGTCATCCCTATTCATCCCTAAACATCCCTAGTCATTCCTAGTCGTTCAAGTCATTCTAGTCATCCCAGTCATCCCTAGTTCTCCATAGTCATCCCTAGTCATCCCACTCATCCCTAGTCATCCCTAGTCATTCCAGTCATCCCTAGTAGGGCTGAAAATAACGGACAGCAGGTTACCTTTCATGATGACCAGTCAAATATTTTTTAGCCCGGACAAACCCTTATTTTGGCCGGTGAAATAATGAAGACCAAAATTTTTTTTCCTTTTCAATGGCGTATTATGCTGGTAATAGATCATTGTACTATATTGACATTCAGGTTTTTGGGGAAAAGTCGATGAAACATTCATGCAGATGTTGTTTAGTTCCTTTCGGCGGTTTTTGCCCGTTTTCATGTCCATTCTACCTTGAATATCATCATGCGGTGGTGTCTGAAGTCTCCAAGGTTCGTCCCAGGTTCGAATCTCCTTTACGAAGAAGAAACGTCGGGAAATATTTTCCAAAAGAAGTTAATTTGGTGACAAATCTGTTCCACAAACAGCATGTTTATCATCTGAAGTCGGTAAATATACAACAGAGCTTTCGTTTGAGTCGTCACGCAACACTTTATCGCGAAGGAAGCATTAATGTCAATAGCAACTTGCATTAAGTCGTATACGTTCGTTCTTGATCAGGTTAAATTTTATCAGACTATCCTGGAATCGAGTCTGCAAACGAGATTCATGTTTGACATAAAGAGGTTATAATAATTAATCAATCCGCTAAAATTTAGTTCTGGAGAAACACAGGATGACCTGTTGACAGTTGCAATCGATTTGCCCGAATTCCATCGAAGGTGATTTTCACAATCACGTCAAGTCGATCTGAAATGTTAGATGGACCAAAACTGTTAGCTATCCTTTAGTTTCTAACGGACAACGGATTATCGTTAGTGTATGTTTTTCCAAAGGAGACACATTACTAGTTACAGCAAAGCAGAATGACCTGCATCGTTGCGTTACTCCATGACTCAGTTTGTTGTTGTTTCCCTTTTTTACGTTTCATGACGACATGATGACATGAAATTTATCGCACTGTTCATTTTCTTAAAAGGTTTTAGTGGAAAGCAGACAAAAATGCCAAAGAAAAAAATCATAACAGCGTGCACAACGCATTAAGGGACAACTGTATGGAAAATATAATTAAATTTTCGTTTCCAAGAATGACCGGTCAAAATGACCGGCAAGACGAGAGTTTAACCTGTCAAGTCCACAATGAGGTCGGACATTGTCCGTTGACCGGCCGTTATTTTCAGCCCTGCATATCACTAGGGGTATGGTTTTTGAGTAGGGGAACAGATATCACATATTATAGTGATTGTAAAGCAAGTTATCAACTTGAACCTCACAAGGTATCTGTTTATTTAAGGGGGAAACTTGCAAATAAAAGGTCTCCAATGACATTTGATTAATTGGCCTACTAGTAACTTTCTCTGGAGTGGTACCGAATGTTTGTCACCTTCATTACCTTTATTGTTCATTAACTATCATTGGTTAAAAAAATTTTCATTCATTTACCTGTTTTTTCCTTTATCTGCCTTTGTATTCCTTTTTGTGTTATAAGCCACATGACGTACATGTAAATATCCATCGTTGATCTAGATCTCTCTTCTAGTGCCTGTCCCACTAGCCTACGAATACAGCTGTCTCTCCTGGCTTCTCATGTCCCCAAGAATCCATACTGATAACTGATTTGTCAGAATCTAGTCATAGAGTGCTGTTTGGTTAATGTAGTAATTTTTTGTTTACCTAATTGTTTACTAATGACAGACAAAATGTCACAAAGATAATATTCCAAAAATAGACCAGGAGAAACATTACTCTGCAAAGGCAGGCATTGGTCCTTTCTTCTCTCCACCCGAAAAGTAATGTTTGCGAACATAAGCGGCGATACAGTTTTGTTGTTGACCAATGGGAATTGAGGATAAAAGTAAGTGTAAAACTCTAGTGACTCCCCGCAAACTCACGGGCTGGCGTGTTTTAGATTTTGATCACAAATTTCAAGACTATAACATACGATTTTTTGCCTTTGGTTTTGCCAAATAAAATAAACAGTATGTAACACAAACGAGATAACAGAAAATTGTCATTGCTATGACACTGCACTCAGACTTGCACTTATCCAATTTCGTCTTAAGCTGACAAAAAGTTGTGAATCGGTGATACGGGCACATCTTTGACTCGCGAGTGAAAATCTACTACAATAACTCTTTAAAAATTTAAAATCTTACAAGCATCGCCATGTAAACCTGGAAAAACATTATTTTACAAGATAAAATTGATTGTGGTCAAAATAACTTTTTAGCTCATGGGAAGTCAATAATAATGACCATGTGTCCTACATATAGCTTTTAAAGGTGGACGATGCATGAAAAATCTAAAGCGGCACACAACAAGCTATCAAACAATCATCCAAAGCATACTTTTCTGCAAGGAACACAAAAAGAACAACAAACATGAGGTGTCTACCATCATTAGAACATTTATAGTTGAAAAAGCTTGGTGTGATACATCATTGACTCCCTAGTAAAATGGACAAAAATGTTCCTCTAATCTTTTTCAATATGACTCTGCTTGGTGCCTTTTTCATCAATCAGTTCCATAATCCTTGCAAATTTACTTTTTTGAACGTGGCATCCAGTTGTTTCAACTTGTAAACATATCTACTGTGCAGGAATCTTGTGAGAATTCTCGCGAGTTAGTTTTTGGTTTCCAAGAGCTAAACTGTGATTGGCTAATTAATAATGTCCCATGTTTACTTTTTGGGTGGAGAGAAGTGACGACTGGAAAGATGTCGTTTTGCACGCTAGAGAAACATAATACTCGAACCAATTTTATCTGGAGCCCATGACTACCAGATTGATTATGTGAACATTGATTCGCGTCATCAGTATGGAATTTTGGGGTCTAAATTGCTGATGTCTCCCCTGTGAAACGTCCCAAGCAGCGAGCAGAGATGCCTGTACTTGCAGGCTACTGTCCCACAGACTTTTATCCTTTCAGTTTAACACTGGCTGAAATGAAAGTTCATTTTGGAAAATCCTCATTGGCACATAATAATTACTATTCAAATGTTCAGCCAGTGAGGTTTCATCTGAACAGTAGCTTCAAAGGGTTTTTTCAACAGATTTAAAAGTCAGAATCAAAAGAATTATGTTTTTCATAATGTGGTTTAGGAGCTATGGGTTAAGTTACCCTCGTTACAAAATGTTTTTTTTTTCTATACTTACAGGCAAAGATTTTTGCGAATAAGAAATGTCTAAGACCAAGATGAAATATGATCTTAATAGTTGAACAGGGTTGTCACTAAGATTTCAAGTTGCCGGGTATTTGTTGTTACTAGCCGGGGAAGTCGCAAGGTTTTGAAGTGCAACTTCTACCGTTTTCCAGGCATTACCGCCCCAAAAAAGCAATCTTCATTAAGAGTACAGCTATCATTAGGTCATGATGATCACGTCTTTATTAAAGAAAACTACAATATTCTGAGACACTAAAATAATAAGTTTTTACTTTACGTAAAGGCTCGTTGGAGGGTTTTTTTAGTGGCCGCCAAATAGGAACATACATGTAAGCACCGGGTCTGAAAAGGAATTAGTTAGGCACCGGTCACGTTATCCGCGCAGTCTTATCGTCACACAGACAAGGCGCATGCTGGCCAGTGAAGTGTTAAATCAAAACGATACTTACAAATGTTAAAAATGTGGGAATGACAATCGATTATTATATGGTGCAAATGAATTAACATGCGCTGTAAAATCAATTGTAAATCCTCATTTAGTTATACGTAAGAACGAAACAACTTACGGAAAACAAAAGTAAAACTAATATGACAAATGAATTAACCCACGGAGAAGCGTAAAGAAGACAAGCGGACGATGAATGTACGAAAAAGCATCATAAACATAAGGTTGTTATGGTTTGTTGAAAAATAAAAGCATGATAAGGCTAAAACAAGCGCAACGTACGAAAAATCGCGGGATAAAATATGGCAAAACTAAACTGCACAACTGGTAACATTAGTGGTCTCGAATTTAGGAACGAAACATCACTTAACATACCAAGAAACTGACCGGCTACGGAAAAGCGTTTAAGAGACCGGGCTAATACTTTATAAACGCCGCTGAGATGTCAAAACGAAACTCAAGGAGAAGAATGCAAAAGTAATGCTAATACTTAAATTCCCTTTTACATATAACTTCTTGGAAGTAGAACTGAGAGGATGTGATCATGACCTGCCGACAATGATCGAACATTTCCCGTTGACCGTGCGTTATTTCATATACTCGATACCTAAAGCTAAATGTAGACCTGGTCACTTAAATTTCAATTTATGAAACATAGCAATCAGTCATAGTCTTCATCTTCGAAGCCTTCATCATAATCCTCATTATCATCAACATCAGCATCAGGGAGATTTAACGCTCGGATAAAGCCTCAACTTCTTCTGTGATGTCAATAGAGATCTGCTCAGGTCTTTCATCGAGAACAAAGAGTGCAGATTCCTTTGCCGACACAACGGTTGAAACTAGGGACTTTTAGCATCAACAAAGTTACGGCAGCGAAATCGTCACTTTTAAAATGAATTGGCGTTTTTTCCAACTTTGTCGCGTTTATTTCCATTCGCTGAAAATAGCTAATGTAGGCC